GAGTTGTATCGGCGTTTCATCATATACGTATATATTATTATTAGTCACTTCTTTTTCTTCTTCCACATATCTCATAAAAATAATTGAGAAAATTTTACTGGGAAGGGATATCCTTGAGAGAGGATAACGTTCAACTTGACACTCCTTAAACACTTCTTTTGAGCCAGTATGAAGTTCACCCAGACCATCCCTAACAGAGGATCTTGGGAAAGCTCTACGTCCGTGTAACTGCTGTTTCAAACGAGGGAAACTTGAGACAGTTCCAGGTTGATACTCCGGTTTCTTAGGAGGGGATCTTGAGATAGTTCCACGATGACGCTCCAGTTTCACATGAGGGAATCTGGGTTGACTGGTTGAAAACATTGTAAGCTTGGCACACGAGGAAAGAAGAATCAATCCTGGTGATCTGGATAGAATATTGCTGGGAACAATTGCACTATTGAGATTATGAGATCCATCTAATCGTAAACAAGTGAGCTTGGTGAGTAATATGGAAGAGTGAACTTTAATCAATTTTCCACAATTATTGAGAATTATTTCTTCAATATTTGGTGACAGGGAAAGGTCTTGTATTCTAGTAAGTTCCCGAGAACAACTCAGGTTGAGCCTTTTCAACTTCGGTAAACTCTGTTACAAAAAGTAAACGAATCAGGTAATAAAGAAAAACTAAATTAAAGTTTTAAACAATTTTATCTATTTTTCTCCGGTAAACTCTTGGTTACAGTATCTATTTACTTTATAAACTCTTAGTTACAGTATCTATTTACTTTATAAACTCTTAGTTACAGTATCTATTTACTTTATAAAGTCTTAGTTACGGTATCTATTTACTTTATATTTTACATAAATACCACTGTTATAAAGATCACACTGCGAAATAACCAAATTTTCCAAATTATGCTTAGGCCGGGATATAATTCAGCAAGTTGTAGTGTACTATAGTCATCTATATTATATTTATATTGTACCTTAAAAAACTAAACTGTTTTTTACTAAAAATTAATTACGATATTTTATAGTTCACTTTAAAAAAACAGAATTTTTTATATTGAGTCCAGTCAATTTATGAACTGTTTTTTTCTTTTACATTTCTATTTAATCGCTTTTAGGAAAAATTTATATATTCTTTCTTAAAATGCATTACACTCTTCAGAAGGTGTGATTTGCTATCCTTAATTTGTTTTTTAAACTTACAATTTCTTATTCTTATATGATCATGCATTTTGTATGCTTTTTTACTTAATGATTTCAGATGTTTTGAATCTGAATGATAGAGTCTATAATGAAGTTACATGAAACAGGACAGTGTCAGTTCAAATGGTTGTTTTTTTTCAGTTCAAACAAACTATTTTATAATTAATTATAAATTTTTATAATACAAAACAGTTTAGTACACTCTACCCTTTACCCATCCGTACTAAAACACTCTAATAATTTCAACCTAAACTTGTTAGGGATTGATAAAACTTATGATTGTAATTTATAATAATAAATGGCAATGAGGGCCTTCTTCTATCAACCTTTGTTTTTATATAAATTAATATATAAATAAATATAATTTATTTTAATTTTAGTATATTTTTTATATTTAGCATTTCCAGAATTTTACACATCAATTATCACACCCTTAAAATATTTTTTAAAATCCCCCACTAATATTACTTAAAAATCATAAATAACATTAAACCAAATTTGATAAAGAAAAATAATATATATTGGTAGACATACAATCACAGGACATTGCACCATATGCATAAAACGCATGCAAACTCTTCTCCATACTATTTGATTTATAATTACTTTTAGAAGCATGCTAATATGATTCTAATAATACAAGTACAATTGTGTGGTTCTAATAAAAGCAATATAAAACGAATAATGTGATGAAAGGCACAAAGGAATGGTGAAAACATGTAGATGTACAAAGTAGAAAACATGCTTTTAGAATTTATTTTTATCTAAATGTTGACAAAAGAAGAAGATAGTCATTTTACTTCAATAAAAATTTTTGACGATGATGACTCATGGAGAAATATTGAAAATTTAAAAAAAATGCTTGGATTTAAGAGATGAAAGACTTAATAATTTAGTTGTTGAAGTCTTGTAATATATGTATTTTTTTTTAAATTAGTAGATCAAGAGTCAATAGGCAAAACCTAAACAGTAGAACACTCATAGAAAATTTTATTTTTTATAGTATCGTCAAAATGGGTCACCTAGCCCAACTCGGCTCGACCCACCACAGGTTGGCTACTTAGTGAGCCAACCCAACTTGACTCACTTATTAGCGAGTTAAAAAAATTTGAACCCGGCCCAACCTACTACGGATATTAGTGGGTTAAAAAAATAACAAAAGTTTTATAATTCAAATCTAAACAAAAGGGAAGGATCTTAAATTATATTTATGATCAATCAAATATAAGATTTTATTTACACAAAATATATCACAAAATCTTCTCAACAAAATTTTTAGTAGCTTCATAATGATTCAAATTTGTTTTTGCATAAAAATTGAGTTATTAAGTATAGATTTGTGATTTTTTTATGTTGTCTAATTATTTCATACAAAAATAATTTCACGCAAGTCTCCATTTCAATATTTTGTAAAATTACTAATTCTACAAAAAAATACTTATTAAAAAAATTAAGTGGATTCACTGCACGTTCAACTAGGGTGAAATGAGTTCAAAATTGGCCTGTATCGAAATTTCAAAAAAAAAAATTAATCCAACCCAGCCTGAACTCGTAGTAGGCCAGGTTAGCTCACGGGTTCCAACTAATTTTGATAGTACTAATTTTGCATAAAATCCTCCATAATAATCAACTATCACTAATGATAATCAATAATCCAATTAAAAATAAGTTTTTCAGAAGTATCTTTATGATAATCAATTATCACCTTCTGCTAATCGATTATCACAACGAGAAAATGTTTTTTGAAAAAGATTTTTTGATAATCGATTATCAACAACAATTGCGACCAGACTCTTGAGTTTCTTGACATAATTTTCGAAAGAGAGAGTCAATATATTTTAGCTAAACCTAGTTTTCAAAATAAATTTTCACTCAGAAGTTTAGAGTTGTGACTGCAAGAAAAACTCTCAATTTTCGAAGAGGGGCTTTGGAAAATCTAGTGTAGGTAAACTTTCACTAAGTATGTTATTAAGTGTTGCTGTTATTATTAGGAAAGTTATTCATCATTTGTGTGCCAAAGTAGTGTTGTCCATTTCTTGTGTTTTTAGAAGATGTTTTCTAACGTAATTCTATATGATTGACTGTAAGTTGTGACTTTTTCTTAATGATTAGTTAATTCCTCTTTAAAAATGTGTGACTTTTTTTTGAATAATCATACCAATTCACTCCTCTTCTAGTTTTTGTTCACACATAAACATTCTGAGGCATACTTTTAACATTTAAAAGTCTAAAACACAAAGGAACATAAATAACTTGAAAAACCTGATCTCCTTTCCATAGTTGTTCAAGATGACATCCTGGCATCTCGAGTCTCACAAGATTTTGTGGGCAAAAATTTGATGGCAAAGATTTTTTATGGAAACCAGTCCAATAAAGAATCTTCAAAGTGTCTGGCAGACTTACTAGAGATGATTCAAGAAACACATTTCGATACCAATAATTAGAATAAGAATAGAGCATAAGAATCCTTAGATTGTTCATCATTTTGAAAGCTTTAGCATGTACTTTAACTTCTTCCATTTCATCTATATCTTGTAATATACATTGTATTGCATCTGACCCCTGAAAGTATCAAAGCAATTAGAAAAAAAATAAACATAAATGTTCCATTGCAAGCTATTTAATAACATCTCAATGGTTATCAATTTATCATAACATAAATCCATGTGACTCTTTCATTTGATTTATAATAAAACATACCTTGTTTTTTTTTAAAATCTCATGAATTTCGTCAGCCTTGAACAATCGGCTGCGTTTTCCAGGATGTTGAGGACACTCTTTACGAACAATTTCTTGACCCATTTCTTGTATTAGATCGTGCATCACAATTCTACCATCCAAGATAGATATGAGACATTTATCTTTGAGAACATCCATTCCAATCTTAGAAGAGAAACCACAGTCATTTAGTGTTTCTGCTACTACAATCTCGTTGTGTCCTCTATAAAAGCAAGCGATGTCAAGAAATATATTTTTCTCCGCCTCACGGAGTCCATCATAACTTAATTTTAATACATTGAAAATATCATGATCTTGGCACTTCTCCAAGTTTTGCAACTGACTTTCCCATGCTTCTCTTTGTCTGTCATATAACAATGAACCCAAAATTTGGAGAGCTAACGGAACCCCTTTTGCATATCTCAACACCTTTATTGACAAGTCCATGTAAGTAATTTCTTTTGAAGAATTTTGTTTAAAAGCATGTAAATTAAAAAGTTTTAGAGAATCATAAAAATTCAACTCCTTAAGTTCGTAGATATCATCAGTTCCAGCATTCTTAAGCACTTGTCTGTCTCTACTGGTCATAATGATTCTACTACCCAGCCCAAAGCGATCACATCCTTCCATTAATTTCTTAAGTAGAGTTGAATCGGTCACATCATCAAGAATGAGGAGGACCTTTGTCCGTTTCATCCGTTCATTGTAATATGATAAATGAGAGGATGATGTTTCCTTTAGAAGCTCAGACCAATATTTTGCTATGATATTGTGTATTCCCTCTCTTTGTAGTTTTTCTTGAACATCTAAAACAAGGCTGTGGGAATCAAACTGCACTGCCAATGTGTGATATAATTGTTCAGAAATTGTAGTTTTTCCCATTCCTCCCATGCCACAAATTCCTATGATCCGAATATCCGGTGACTCAAGATCCAACAAGGATCGAATTTCTTCAATATGTTTTTCAATACCGATGATTCCTTGATTATAACTGACGGAATAACGATTCAGTTTTTTCAAAATATCATCTATAATTTCTTCAACAAGAATGTGTTCTAACCTGACCCATGATTTATAAAATAAAATATAAGTATTCAAGTACAAAACTAAACTAAATTAAAAAAATATCAAAGAGTAAAAAGAGTGAAGGATCATTGAATTGATTTATTTATGGATTCACGTTCTGAGTTCTAGATAAAAATAAATA